GCCTACACCCAGCAATTCCTGGAACAGAGTGACATCTTAGGAAAATATGACTAGTCTGGTGGGTATGTGGGAAAAGTAACACAGAAAGTCAAGTCTACAGTGCACCCTGGTTACATCTGAAAGCTAGTCATTGGCGCCACCTAGCATAAGCATTGAGGAGAGTCACATTTACTGCATCAACATGGGCTCTGAGCTCCATGCTGAGCAGCTGCAGGTTGCAGGGTGCTGAGGCATGAGAGGTCCCAGCCCTGCATCCAGTACGAGACAGGCAGAAAATCTGCTTCAGTTCCCACAGGGTCTCATGGACAATTCTGTCTGTGTCTTTTTCTCCAGTCCAGATGTCACCCAGAAGTGGGCAGGATCAAAATTTTGATCTGTTTTTCAGGGGCAGGAAGAAGAAGCAGAATCTAAGAGCATCAGTGAAGGCTGGGAATTGAAGACAGTTTCCAGGCTGCTGCTGCCACCCCATCCACTGTTTCCTGCATATCCAGACAGAACAGTGGCTTCTCACTGCTGAGAGTAGGAACAAATATTTTTCTATTCACAGTGTCAGTTCCAAGCAGGATGCAGAACCGTCAAAATCCTCCACACTAATCACCGTGGCCAGCTGGTTCATGCCCAAGCCTAAGTGTCCCTCTTCAGTCTGCTTCAATTGGCCACCTGAAACCCTGCCACTCCTGGTTTTCCTGGAAATTGCTCACTGATGCACCTTAAGCAAAACCTGGAAATTAGACATAAATATTTTCAAATGACCTCATTTCTATTTTTTCTTTTAATAGTTACTTGCTACAAAATTTCATGTATCACCTTTACCAATGACTAATGAATGAATCAAAATAAGTGATCCACAGTAGTTGAACCCAATAACAATTAGAACATGAGGATCTAAGAAACCTGCCTTCAGGTGCATAACTGGTTAGTCCCTAATCTCCAGATTCAATCCCATATGCTTGGACCACTGGGTCTCTGTTTCTAATCAATTGTCCAGAAGACGTCTGGGGCAGCCTATACTGTGTACTATATATGAAATCCAAAGCTCAAATTGTATTCTTCTCAACTAGTGGGTTTCAGAGAAGTGTTTTTTTTTTTTTTCTTGCCCCATACACAATTTTGCAGGACTGTTTTCCAAACAGTATACCACAAAAATACCCCTTTTTACTCATGATCTTTTCTCTTTCTGAGTCCCAGGTCTTTCTTTAAAACTAACAATCTCCGTGGGGCTATTTCCTGTTTCAATTCTCCCAATAACCATTTGCATTGCTTCTATGGCTTAACTTAAAATTAAGATTGACAACTAAAACATCAAGCATTGTAAAGTAAGCAGGTACAAGATTGAAACTGGATCGGTGATGCCTTTTATAGCAGCTGTAGGAGCAGGCTCCAAGTGTCCTCCTATGTGCTGAGGAAGTGAATGGCTGTGATACTTACACATTTTAGATGCATACATGAGTATTCTTCATGTTATCATCTCCATGCCTCTTTAAACATTACGAGATTTCCAGTTCATATCGTGATAATTCTGTAGCCAGAAGTAAGGAAGTTTCTAATCATTGGAAAATGGATCCAATGACCTAGAGTGCTATTGAGTCCTGAAGTTCTAGGAAACTGGAAGTCATTTATTGTGCAACAGGTTCGCTTTCTCAGCTGGCAGCTCAGAAATGAGGATATCTGTGTTCAGTAGGGAAAAGTTGAAAAGAGATAAACAATGGATTTTACAGTAAAGAAATTCTGTCTTGGTTACTTTTCTCTCATTGCTGCAACACCCAAAATGAAGGCAAGGTTTATTTAGCTCACTACTTCTGGTAGTTTCAGTCCATAATTAGCTGACTACAAGGCAGGGTGGCATAGTATAGGGCAACATTTCAAGGCAGCAACCTGCAAAAGCAGTCAGAGTGAAATGGAAGAAACAAGCTTCTTTTCCTCAGTTATATTGTATGCTGGCCAACTCTGCCCCTCAGGGGAGATATATCACTCACAAAATCTTTGTCCCCTCCTCTTGAACAGAATAAGGATATTTATAAAAATCCTGACACCCTGCTGAGTCTCTTAGTTAAACTTCTCAAGTTTAGACAATATATCAGCCATAACAAATTATAGCATGATTTATAGTTTGCAGAAGGCAGAGTTGTGAGATAATGACATTGAAAAAATTCTACTCCTCCACAACACAAGAAATATTCCCACAGCAAGAGAAAGCATGTTTTAGAGGTGATCTGGTTTGTGGTAGAATTAGTTTGATTTCACACAAAAATCAGGCACATTCAAGAGACCTTTGATAGGACTGACCTGCACGTCAGTAACTTTTCTGGCATTTGAGAGGTTGGCAAGGCAGTATTTCCACAACTTCCAAAACGTTGTTCTCAAGGCCTTACATCTATACATTCACTCATCCTATGTGAAGTCTATGGGTTGTTGTAGCATCACCAGTACAAGAAACAGGAGTAAGACTCTTTCACAGTGCTGTGTCCTGGTGCAAAGACTATGAATATAAAGGCCAGAGAACTTGATGTTTTACACTTGTCAAAGAGCATGGGCTTGTCCCACAATGGTGACTAGTCATGATATAGGGGAGCAAAACTCCCAAACTACTATATGAACCCTGTGAGTTCATGTTCTCTAAAATCAAAGAATGAATTTTAGGAAAAACAGACGTTAAGCGCAGAATATGTTTATTATGTTTAAGAGAAAGAACGTTTCTGTTTGAGAGACAGAGGGGGTTCCAAGTGGGTAGCCAAACACTTTGTCTTTTCCAAGTAATTTTACAGTTTAAAACCATAAAGTGAGGTAGGTCTAAGGTCTGTAAAACATGGAAACTCACAAGGGGGGCATAAGGTGGGACAGAACTACCAGCAATCAACAGGATTAATTTCTCAGGTAAAATTGCCTAAAGTGAGGACAAATGGGGAAGCCAGTCATGTAGCAAGTGGGCATGCTTAAGGAGCAGTGACTCTTGCTGTAGAGAGTTGGCTCCCTCAGGGTGACAGAGAAGTACTTAGAATATCAGTCTTTAGGATGAAGGTGTATTTGTTTGATCTTTTGTCTTGAGGCCTGGCCCCACAGTTGGAAGTGTCTGTCTCCCCTACATTTACAAGTATCTGGCCTTCTTCACTGGCTCCTTGGAGGACCTAGCCTATCTGACTATCTATAGTATTTCTGTCTAACTCAGTTGCCTATAACAGTCCTATGGGAACACAGGTTACAAGAAAAGGCACTTTGGCTAGTCAGAGAGTGAATATTTTTCCTGACTCTGGGCTCCAGCAACAAGGTGTCCCTAAGTTCTGCCATATTCTATCTAATGTTCATCCACACTCCTGTGCTTGTGTGTGGCCCTGTAAGCACTTGCTCATGTAGATGCTTCACACATAGACACATTCAGAGGGGTGCAACCTATTTCATTCTCTTCTTTCATAGTGGCTATTTTGATTGTCAGTGAGAATGAGGAAGTCATCTGGCCTCTCCTAGGACATCTAGGTGATCCACTGTCCCAACAACATCCTTGGAAGCAACACCTCAGAAGATTCCAAGCCCCAAGTCTCATCTTGCGTGATCCTGGTTTTCACAGCAGTCTTCACAGTATCCCCTGGATTGTGAGTTCCTAGTTTCCAACAAACATAATATTTTCCTCTATGTGCCAAGTTTTTAGATAGATGTGCACTAAACAACTACTCTGTGAGGAAGAAATACATTTGATTAACGTTGTGTTTAATCTCTAATGTTTTAATTTTTGATCTGAACTCTCAAAGCTCAATCAGTATGAGATTAGAGGTAAGACATACTACATAAAGGATATGTCTGAGCTGAAAAAAAAGTACTCAGTCCTGTATTTGTATCACCTGGCCAAAGCTTTAAGAAGGGAACACATCTTTTCCAGTAGATGCATTCCAAATTTGCTCGATATAGAAAGTCTTCACTAAATGTATGCATAGTGAAGGAAAGAAATGCTTATAGGGCAAAAGTGTAATTGGGCAAAATTATATGAGTTTTCTTACTCATTTATCATTCATTAGCAAGAGTCAGTAAAATGATTTTCATCATTCTCCTGACCTGAATTACGCTCTCAGAGTCTTCAAAGCATAATGAACATCCCCAAAAGACATTACACTAGCCTCCTCATAGTATTAAAAGGAATTCCTAAGAATAGGATCTGTGAATATGGACCACATCTGTCACATCATCTAAGCAAACTGCCAAGCAGAAACATACATTCTTATAAGAACTGACATGGTTTAGTTATCCTCTTTGTTCTCATGTGCAAAGAACACCTATTGGTACCACACATCAGATAGGAACCTGCTAATATGTCTGTTATGGAGTTGTGGATTCATATTGTTTAATGAAGTCTCTTTGAGGCTACTTAGCTCATAAATTCATAGGAAAATGTGTTGTCAAAATGTGTAATTTCAGTCTGAGACACTATTGTAGTATAATTTTTAAAAACCTGCTGATTCAATGGGCATTTGGGTTTTTAAATGAACAACGCTAACCATAGTCATGATGACCACCACATCTCAGGAGACTATTCCGATTCACTCAGTTAAACTTGTCAATAGATATCTTGAACCCTACATAAATATGGTGTAAGGAATAAGGATCTGGCTCTGAAGGGCAGATGTGGAATGGTGTAGAACAGGAAGAAAATAGTCTTTGATTCTATGCCCCAAAGAATCCAGCCTGGCCATGGAAGTAGGGATTAGGCAGATGGAAAGAAAATGGAATGGAACACATATACCAGGAAGCTTTGCTATGACTCCCTGGTTTTCCCAGAAGTACCTCCTCTAGTCTTTGTCATGGCACTGGCTTCCCTACAAAATCAAGCATCTCCTTGGGAAACCTAGACTAAGAGGAGCATGTGACTAGGCAATACTGATTAGACTAAACCCCAGGACATAAAGGGAAGTCACAAGGATTCCTGGAGGCAGGGATAAGTGAGCAGAGTATGTCAGGAATGATCCAGGAATTCCTGGTGACACACTAGCCACTCTCTGCCATTGCTGGAGTCAAGCTGGGCATATAAAAGGTAGACCTGGCTCTAACACCTCATCTGTTCCAACTCCCTCAACAAGTCTGTGGTCCTGTGTGTGTGACCCAGGTGAGTGGGAACCTGTGGGTCCAGAGAGCTCTGAACAGGAGAGAGGGATGGGAAGGGAGGCAGCAGAGGTTGATGGCTTGTGCTGTCATGAGCAAGAATAAGACTCTTTCAACTGCCCTGTCTGGAAATCAGACATTGGTTTGGCAAAACTGTGGGGCTCAGTTTTGGTAAGACTTCTTTTTTTCTTGTTAGAAGAGGAATGCTTCTCTGAGGTATAAATCCTGTAAGCTCGTGAAGTTTAGAAAATGACAGTTGTCTGTTGAATGACATAAAAAAAATTTCACTATATGTAATCTTTAACCACTTATTTAAATTCATGCCCTAATCTCAAGAGGCATGTGAATAGCTAGACCTCCATGAGATTTGCTGGTTCTTTATTTTTTGTTTTTGTCCTTTTTTTTTTCTTTTTTTGAGACTGTTTCTCTCTAGGCATTTCAGGCTGGCCTTGAGCTCACTTTGTAGCCTAGGCTGGTCTCTAATCCGCAATGATTCTCCCTCCTCAACCTCTGGAGTGCTGGGATTAGAGATGTGAGCCACCAAGGCCTGCTTATGAGTTCTTTGTATTACTCTTGGAAGACTTATACTATACATAAACAAAATACCCTTAAGTATCACATATGATTTAATAACATAAAAAATGTGTTCTTAAGTTTGTACAGCTAAAGAGTTTCATTACTTTCAGGTTGGAAAAGTCACAACAAGATGTCCTGCCAGCAAAACCAGCAGCAGTGCCAGCCACCTCCCAAGTGTCCACCCAAGTGCACTCCAAAATGCCCACCAAAGTGCCCTCCAAAGTGCCCACCCCAATGCCCAGTGCCATGCCCTCCTCTGGTGTCTTCCTGCTGTGGCTCCAACTCGGGGCACTGCTGTGGCTCAAGCTCTGGGGATGGTGGCTGCTGCCTGAGCCACCACAGGCCCAGTCTCTTCCACCACCGCCATAGACACCAGGCTCCTGACTGCTGTGAGTGTGAGCCCAGTGGGGGCTCTGGCTGCTGCCATGGCTCTGGGGGCTGCTGCTGAGCTGGCCCAGGAAGAGCTCTTGAAGGGATCCAGTAGTCTAGTGCGGGACGCAGCCTGATGCATCAACTTTTCCATTCCCTGGCTTTAAATCATGGATCAGTAGGGATCCTGAAGACTCCCAGAGATTCCTGTGAAGAACCTTGTAGTTAACTGTGGGCTCTATATGCTCAGCCACCATCTCTGTCTGTGGTTCTTGCTTTATTTTCTCTTTTAATAAAACTCTGATTTTCTGTCCCCAAAATATCGTCTTAGTCTCCCTTCTGTTGTTATTTTTCAAGTCCCCCAAATGTCCCAGATTCAAAGGCCTGCTGTTTGCAATGCATTGCAAGCCCTAATAGAAGATAATTGAGAAAATAAGTGAAGATTCTGATGGTGTTTGGTTTGATTTTGTTTAATTTGACTTTGTTTGGTTTTGGCAGACAATTTGGTGATTGAAGTTTATCACTTTGGGCAACATAAGTCTTTTGTCTGTTGCTGCCGCCAGAACACTTGTAATAATTTTTCTTAAAATTTGTATGGAAGGTGATACAGGTTGGGAAATACTTTTAATGAAAATTTGGGGACTTGAGAGAAAGACAGTTCTCCATGCCACAGAATTTTCCTAATATCGTAATAAAAAATTTTGTAATGTAGTTAAAACTTTTCTTTCTGCAGAGAACTACAAAAGATCACTGATTCCTTGCTGGGGAGCAGGATTCTGGGTAGGATCATGTTTTGGACTTGTGTCACATACATTACCCAAGCTTGGTCTTCTAAGTGTATGATCTGCTTCCCAGCCCCATATCCTGCCACCTGTTATATGTTCTGGACATGTCAGTCATGAATGATGCTGTTACATAACCAGAAATCAACTAAGATCCAACTTAAGACATAAAACGAATGCAAGGCTGAGAGTGCTACAGGAAAGATAGATAACTCCTCTAATGGTCTCATGTGTTCTTTGCTCCTTTTTCATCATATATGCAGGTGGAAACATGCCAGGATACATGCAGGATTCTGTGGTGTTAGTGGAGGACACAGCAGGAAAGCTTAGAAATAGAAAGGTTTAGAGTCACACTGAGAGGCCTCTGCATACCAGTCAGGGATAAGGGATTCCCAATGAAGAGGGATGCTGTGCTGCAGAAGCTCAGGTCCCCTCAGCCTCATTGCTGCTGAGAAGAGAGTCCAGCTGTCCACCTGGCCTAAATGCTCTGCTGTCCTTTTCAGATCATCCCAAACTTCCAGACATTCTGTCTCTTTATTACTATAGTTTTCAAATCTCTGGTAGTAATTTTACATTTTAAAAGATCATTATTTGCCAATCTAAAAATGCTATTATACCTGATTATTTTCAATGTTTTAAGAACTTTTGATAACATGAGTCTTTAAATTTACCTTTTTTATTATTATGACCTATCATGTTTCACTTGTTTTTTATTATATCTTTTGTTAAATAATAAGAAATGCCATCATATCATTTTATCTTTTAAGTTTATTGAAAAGAATAAGAATTTTCTCCTGTCCTTGATGTCTATGGTAGCAAAGAAAGAAGAAAGAGAGACAGAGAGAGAGAGCGAGTGAGCGAGAGAGAGAGAGAGAGAGAGAGAGAGAGAGAGAGAGAGAGAAAGGGAGAGAGAGAGGAAAGGAGAAAGGAAGGGAATCTTAAAACCAACCTTACAACTCTCTGAGAAAGAAATCATTATAAAATGAGAACAGCAAGCAGGAAACCTAAGTTATTGTTTTGTGGAGGAAGCCAGTCTAAAAATTGATGGACACCTGAGTTTGCTTTACGGAGCTTTGCTTGCAGCTTGAGCAGCTCACTGTGCCCTTATTTCACTGGCGATTCTACTCTCTGGAGCTCCTTGTTCTCCTTTCATAGTGAGTGGATCCCCTTCCCTAGGTGGCATTCAGTACACAGAATATTTTCAGCATAATTTTGTCTTTCCAGTTGTATTAGCAAATCTATTGTGCTACTATAACAGAATGTCAAAATTTCAGTAATTTAGATAGAGGGTGGATTATTTCAAAGCCAATATTGTAAGGTGGAAATCTGCAGTCTGTGGCTGGTGGGAGGCTCTCTTCACGAGCAGGTGTCCCCTCTCCTTGTTAGTCTGTTCTCAGTTGTGGTTAATTCCTGGAAGGCAGTTAGTGAGTTCAGTCTCACTGATGGAGCTCTGACCTGTAAGGCTGTGTTTGGCAAAATGGTGGGAATCAGGTTTCCCTGAGCTAAGGCTCTTGACTCAGCTTCCTTAAAGCCATGAAAACTCGCTGGCCCTCACTGCCTGTGTGTGTGGACAATGAGGGTGAAGCAGTGTGGATTGTGATGTTTGGACACTATTGTTGCTGGACAAATGTAAAAATAAGTGAAGAATGAAGAAGAGCATATGTGCTGGGCACACACCTAGAAGTTCTGGTCCAGGTGACATTCTGGACTGGGTGATGAGTGTCTGGAATTAGTGACACAGACTGTCTTGGGTGCGCTCCATTCAGATCTGGAAGCATGTCAAGGGTGAGTCTCCCTGTAAACATTTAGGAGCATTATGCTCAGTTCCTCCTCAAGGGGTCTGACTGTGTGTTGAGGCAGATACAGTTTGCAGGCTGAATGGGCAGGGGAGCCTCCAGCCCCGCAGCTGAGACGTCTAGGGTGCAGTGGGAGCTACCTGAGTAGCGAGAAGTGTCAGGGCTATTTCTGCCTGTCTCATATGCTCACATCCCCCTGTCATGGAGGAGGACAGCCAAGACCACCATCATTCTCTCAAGGGAGGGAGAAGTTGAAGCTGACGCTGAGACTGGCTCTGAAAACAGCCGAGCAATGTGATACAGTCTGACTTCTATAGTTTTATTCATAGTGAATAACAGAGCAGGTTTTTCTATTCTTAGCCCTTTATTATTGTTTTACAAAAATGCTGAGACAATGGAAACAATTAGACTTCCATATTAAATCAAGAGATTATTCCAAATAGTTGATTGCTTTGTAAAGTTTATGTTACAAAAATTTCACCCAAAATTTCCAGAAATGTAGAATTTCTGAAAAAATCAATTTTTAAATGATATTCCTTTTCCCATACTAGAGGATAGATTTGACTCCTGATTTAATTGTTCTTTGATACCTAATATCAAATTTTGATCTCAAACTTTCATTCATTTAATCCATAAAGGTTCTTATTAAGGTCACTTTTCTTCAGTGATTTTTACTGAAGGCCTATGGATGCTCTTTTCCTTTTCAGTTTTTTTGAGAAATATAATTTAATCATATAGATTCCATATAGTACATTATTATACATTAGGAACTGATCAGGTAGAAGTTTTTCTGACTCTAGATTTTCTCCTTTATTCTTGTTTACATTCTAGACTCAGAATCATGCTACTGTCAAGTAATTCTAAAGAAATTAATTTCTTTCTTTTAGGTCATGGTAGTTTTAATTCATTTAACTTTTTTTTCTGAATTTTCCAGACATCCCAGACCTATGTTGAATTAATGTGTGGATCAGGTACTCCCTAGAAAAGGACATTATTCACTACATAAAGAAATATATTTTCCCCAAAGTCTTTGGCTTTTAGGTAAGACTCTTTGTTCAGTTTTACAGTTCTTTTCAGAGGATCTGAGTTCACTGTGTCTACTAGACTGTGAGAACATCAAGGGAAAAATTTTGTCTGCTTTCTGCTGAACCCTGTAGTGCTTAAAACAGTATGAATTCAATAAGCATGTATGGAAGGAATTGGTTGATTTATAAATTTATGGAAAATATAGATTTTCATTATAACCATATATCCTCAAGAGGGAAGGTAACAATCAAGTGAAAAAACTGAGTCATGGCACTTTAAAAGGAGTTACAGATGAGTCTAACAGCAAGACTGGGACATAAACATGCTTCCCCTACTGTCAGGCTGCCTTTTCAGCCTTATCTCTCTCATACCCAGAAATAGTGAAGTCTTTTCACTGCTTATTGAGGCAAAACAGAATAATTCTGTTTTCTAGTCAGGGCCACCTATCACCTGTTTCAATGTCACTTTAGCATAGTGCAGTCTGCATACATCATAGTGGTAGCTGGTTGTTGCCAGATCTCTTTTGGCCCTCTGTCTAAATCCCTGCTGAAATTGCACTCCCTCCTGGCTATTCTGGTTATTTAACACTACTATAAATAGTACCTTAGCTGCACAAATCAGGCTCCCAGGGAGTTTTTCTGTAATGTTTATTTCTCACTTACTTTTAGAATGTAATCTTTCATTTTAGTCAATGAATTACTGGACAAAGTGCTTGGAAATTAGTATATCCAAAACAAAACCAAGAAGATTTAGTATGCTAACGTTTTATTTCTATTCTTGAGATAAGCAAAGATTGGTTTTGATTTTTACAAATGAATACTAACATACATAGGACACAAACTTTTAATAACAACGTACTTTTAAGTCTGTCAGTAGTACTCACAGCCTGCTGAGATATTTTGCTATGTGACAACGTGGCACATGATAACTCATAGCAAGAGAATGGGAATGTGCCAACTCACCTATCTCTCCCTCTTCTTATGAAGATGTCATTCCCATTATAAGACCTCATGACCTCATCCAATCATAATTGTCTCCCAAAGGCCCCACCCCCAAATGCCATCAACATTTTAATTTGGGTATTCGTTTCTCAACACTTGAACTTCGGGGAACACACTGAAGCCACAGCAATGACCAATGAAATGATGGATCTTGGTGCTCAGAGGGATCACAAGGATGGCATAAGTTGTGTAGAAATAGGATCAGGAATAACCACAGGCAGCTTTTTCTCCCCTAACTTGTAAACCAATTCCCAGAATTTCCTCAGATATAAATGAACAGGATGAGGAATATTAAAGAACTGTTTATCTCAGTCTCATTTCCATCTCTTATTCATCCCCTCAATTCAAACTCTCACATACGTGTCTACTATTCATCACATTCACATGTATGCACACACACAGAGTGCCTTGCCTCCCTCCCTTTTCCACTTTGACATTATTGCAAGCATCTTCATCATAGAGAGTGAGGAGTTCAAAATGATATAATGTTGAAGTTTGTAGAATGAACCAGTGAGCTGCAGTTTCATTGGGAAATAGTGACTCAGGAGGTAAAGGCCTCAAAAGTTATTTCTGTCATGTCCATGTTTTTTTTTGCAGTCACAGGCTGCAGGCCACAAATTCTAGAATCCTGCAGCTCATGGGATTTATCCACTTCTCTAACCTTATGTTGGACAAGCATGCTCTGAGACTGTGTAAGATTTCCAAGAATGCTTTA